GTGAAATCGACCCAAACATAAAAAAACACCGCGATTCACTTTTTAAGATCTCCTTTTTCTTTTCTACACTTAAAATTTCGCAATCCGCAGATTTATGATTTGTGTTCCCGCAGAACAGACACTGCGATTCGGCTATGTTAGCTTTGTACATATTAGATTATATTGTTTAACAGTACAAAGCTAATAACTCAACTGTAGACGGCTTGCTTCGTTATGGCTGGAGAATGTTTATGTTTGAAGGGCAAATGCTTTTCCAATCGCGAATATTTTTCTAGCTAGAATTATAATTAACAGAAGCGCGCGCGTTCTCTACTGAATACTTCGTTCCTCAAAAAGGCTAACAAACCTTTTAAATTCCAATTTTCGTCTTTAATTTTTCGGCTATAATCAAGAGCGAATTCATTAGGAAGTAATTTCAAAATTAAAGGCGTTAAGAGATTTTCCGTAGGTATCAGAGTCTATTTTTAATGCTTCAAGATTTCTTATCTGTACTTCGGCGTGATGTAAAAGTTTTCTTAATCCGTTTATATCATTAGGATTTCTAACAGGTGAAGTACTTAAGAGTTGTCCTAAAATGCGAATTAATTAAGATGTTCTTTTGACCAAATCTGGAACGTAACAGGTTCAAGAGCAGCTTCGTAATTATTTTCGATGAGAGCGAAACCAGAAATAGCTTTGGCGGCTGAGCCCACCAAGAAAGCTTTTTAAGTAAATTAATTTTTTTCTATTTTGATAAGTTCGGATTTTTATCAATCGCATTTTCGAACTGACCTATGAATTCTAACCAATCCGAAGAATATGACCATAAAATTTAGAGATCGTTAATTTTGGAAGACGAGTGAATTTGTTACTTTCGTTTTGGGATTCTGTAACGGTTTCATTAGAAATGTCTCTATTTGCATTGTCCGAATTTTCCAACTTATTCAACTCTTTCAACTTTTTCTTTCCTCTAAACTGCCACACTTGAATTTTCTCTTCATATTCCAAAGCAGATGAGATTTCAAGTTCAAATTCGTCTTCTTCGACTTTTAATTCTCGTTCTATTTCAGCATCTAAATTGCTCAAGGATTTTGATTTTTCGTTTAACTGGTCTAAAATTTCTTCCAATAGATTTACATTTATACTACTATCATCTTTATTCAGTTCGGTTTCAATTTTCTTTAATATCTTGGACACTCCGGTCCTCAATACCTTTCATTTCGATTTCAGTTTAGCAATAAGATCTTCCATATTATACGAGGGCCATCCAGGAAGTAGATTACGTTTCCGTCTGTGTCCGCTAGGGGCGGGGCTAGCGCGGCCATCTTGGGGTCAGAGCGTTGCGCAGCTCAGTCTGCATCTAGCCGTGCTAGTGAGAGGTTCGTGCTGTGACGGTTGAAATGTCTGCGTTAATTGAAAATCCCGCGAGCTGCGAGGTGCGCTCAGTAATAAGGTTTCTGACTGCAAAAAACTGTAAACCGATAGAAATCTATCGGCAGCTTCGTGAAGTGTATGGGGACAACATTATCACTGAAGGTGGAGTGCGTCAGTTGGTCATAAGATTTCAAAATGGCCGAACCAATGTTCACGACGAAGATCGAAGTGGGAGACCCAGCATAGTGACCGCCGAACTTCTCGAAAAAAAAGTCGATGCTAAAGTCCGTGAAAATCGAAATTTCACAATAACGGAACTTTCTTTGAGTTTTCCACAAATTTCGCGAAGTTTGTTGCACGAAATCATCAGCGAAAAGCTTGGTTACCACAAGTTTTGTGCAAGATGGAAGGCAAGAAGAGGTTAAGGTAACGAAGTGGTTGAAGGCGCAGGCGGCCGAATTTTTCGACGAAGGAATTTCCAAGCTCGTACATCGCTACGATAAATGCCTTAATTTGTATGGTGACTATGTAGAAAAGTAGTATTTGAGTGTGGCTTTCATCTGTATATAATAAAATTTGTTTCCTATGCTTTGTTTATTTTTTTATTCCAAAACGTAATCTACTTTCTGGATAGCCCTCGTATAAAAATAGAAAATACAGGCTTACCTTGGCTGTCTTCGCATAAAATGATATCCAAAATTAAAAAACACAAACTTCTAAATTGGCCAAAGGTTCTCGGCATCGATGCACCATATTGCGAAAGGTGGTTCTAATTCTAAATAAAGTCAAATACTTCAACAATCTACAAAAAATAATCATTTTATTTACAAAGCAACCTTTCGTTGCCATCGAAGGTTCACTGCTAACTAACTACGTCGCAAAACTAAAAACTAACATTCCTTTTCAGAAGCGAAGCGCCCTCTAATGGCGATACATAAATCATTTGGGGGATTTTTCCACATCCCTCAAGAAACGACTGGCACACCATCTCAAAGATTCCTGGTGTCATGTTAATTTTATCCGCGTCAACAGCAGTTCTCGTCGCGAGATCTTCAGCTAAGTCCACAGGTGCCTTGTACACTAAAGATTTCATATGCCCCCAAAAGAAAAAGTCCAATGGATTGAGGTCCGGTAAACAAGGAGGCCAAGCCACAGGTCCGCCATGTCCAATCCGTCATGTGGGATATGTGGCATTCAAAAAGTTGCGGACCCTGAAAGAAAAATTTGCTGGGGCTCCATTGTGCATAAACCACATGTCTCTCTTGATGGAGAGTGGAACAGCCTGCATTAAACTGAAGCACTTGCTCCATGAAGATCTGGTATGTTGTGCTGGTCAAATGTTCTGGCATGAAATAATGGCCTACCAGGTAATCCCTTAGGATACTTGCCCAGACATTCACGGAAAATTTCTGCTGGTGTTTATGAGGGATAGTGCAGTGAGGATTGCTGTCAGACCAAATGTGTTGACTGTGCAAGTTGAAACTGTCTTCTGTGCTGAATGTTGCCTCATCGCTAAATAATATTAATGCAGGAAACTGTAGATCATTATTTCTCAATCCAAGCAGCCACTGCGCAAAGTCTGCCCGGCAAAGATAATCATCTGTGTCCAAAGATTGAATTTTTTGTATGTGGTAGGACTGCATGTGTTCCTCATGTAAAATAGGCCACACCACACCACACCCCTGGCTGTTTGCTACCATTCGTGTACTTATGGAAGGAGCTGTTCAAATCTAGTCAAAACTCCCTCTTCCATTTCTGGCGTCATTTTGCGTACGTCCTGCATTGCGTTTTGAGATGGCAAATAATTGGTTTCTCGCAGTGATTGATTAACATTGGAAAATGTTGCATGACTTGGAATCCGACGAGTTGGAAATTGCTTTTCATACAATCTTCATGCTTCTTGTCCATTCCCTTTTCTTAACCATATATGAGGTAAATATCTGCCAGTTTCTTGTACGTGTACTCTGTCATAGCATTCAGGAAAGTTTTCGGACGATGATATCAAAAGCACAGTTTTCAAGGGTGCTGTTTGTTCTGATTGCCTTTCTCCAGTACCAAATAAGAGCGAAATGCTGCTTCTTCTCAGTGCAAATTTGCATGTGGTTAATTCTTAATAGTCTCCTTGTTCTTCCTCGATGCATTTCTACTTTCCTCTTTTCTGCCTGTCAGAATGGAATGCGATCCTATGTTCTGTGTTATTATTCGTCTGGGTAGGTACTATCACCTCTCTTAATTTGTAAAATCGGCTTAGAAGCACCCTGTATAATACAGTATCAGTTTCCCATTTCAGGTAGTTGTCTTAACTAACATCATATTAATCATATTTATTACTAACATTACTTGACAAAATTTCGTAGTAATGAATATAAAATTATCTAACAGAAAATTTTTAATATAAAAATGAATTATGAAACTAAGCAAAACTAATAAAAGAAATGCCAGTTTTTTAATTATTCTTGCGGATCGTGATCTGAGGCACTGGTGGTCATGCTCATCCCAATTCATCCCTGCTTCCAGTACATATCTAACTATCTAAAAATACCAGGCTCTGGTAAATACTGAAGAGATTGAAAAATATAATAAAATGAAAAATAAAAGATAAAAAAAAATCTGAAAGCTTTCAGATTTTATGTTACACCCAAAGGGGTGTTTCTTTTAATGTTTTGTGTGTTACCTTTATTTATAAAATATCATGTTCTTCACACTTAAATCATAAAATTCCATTAACAGCAATATCCCAAAATTAAAAAGAGCATATCTTTAGAATTTCGAATACACAACCTCGTGCACTGGAGATAAAAATGTTTTTTCTTATACAATGGTGATTGCCATTGCTCGCTTTCAAATCATTGAGTTTGTTAATTAAAAATTCATTGAAGTTTGAAAAATATGAAATAGATACTAAAACAAATTCCATGTTCCGGCTTGCAGATGCCCACTTTCTAGTGAAAGACAACTTATTGAAAATTTGATGTCTCTAGGTACTGTTGATTTTTCGCAGTACGAGAAATATACATACATTCATGCATATTCTTCATTATTTAATTTCTTTAAATATAATGCAGGGCTCTAATATTTGGTGGCAACAATTTTAAAATTGAAACAACATTTATATTGAATCAACGCAAAATCCCAAAATGAAATAAATAGCTCTTCTGGGCTAATGCCCTTTAGGCTAAAAAATTAAAAGTTATTAATGCATCAACAAAATGTCAAATAATGGAACCAGTTTTACAGTAATTTGATGATAAGCTAATCATTAATTTATGCAGTGCAATAATTTTTATGCATAATTTATTTTAAAATTACTTTTTAAAACTAACCTAAAATTATCAAAATTGTGTAATTCTGAGTAAAATAATCTCTAAAATGATGTACAGTTTATTAAAATTGGAGCAGAAAATAATTTTTAAAGTATGATTTTAAGCTCAGAATGTGTCTTTGCATGATGTGTTGTGGGTAATTGATATACATCGTGCACAGTTGAAAATTTTCAATAATATGAATTTCCAAAGTTGAATGTCTATAATTTTTTATATGATTTTTCTGGTTTTTAACACTTAGAATGTATATAATATTAACCATCAAGTATTTATATTTTATATTATTGTTTTTCATGAATTTTAGCTTGTTTCTTTTAAATTCAGGTCTCACATGCACGGAACAAAATTTTATAATAAAATCTGGTTTTCAGCGTCATGCTGCTAAGCATGGAATAATTGTAGTGGGCCCAGATACAAGTCCTCGTAAGTACACATTAATTCTTTTTTAAAGTTTGATTTGCATTTTGAAAGTGAAATTAATAAGGAAAATGAACTGTCCTTTTTTTCTAAATCATTGACAAATTTGTTTTGAATTAAAAAAAATTAATTATCTTGTAATTGAAAAAAATTGTGTGAAAAATTATTTTTCTCAGATAATTCAGAGCTATGGGTTATTGATTGAAATGATAAATATAAAATTATTTGTAATTAATTAAATGCTATCTTGTACATGGTACTAAACAACAGTATCCCCCAAATTAAAATAATAATTTTGTGAATTTGTTTAAATAATAGCTCTGATGTCATATACGGCACAAAATACATTTGGTCGCCATTTGTGTTGGATGGTTTAGTTGAGATTTTGTTTGTATGGTAATCCATTTTAGATGGAAAGTTCTGTGAGGAATGTGGCTGTATTTTGTCATGGTGGTTATTTGTTACGTGTTAAATAATGGCATATAGTTTCATGAAAGAAGTTGTAGAGATATATCAGCCATATGTTGTAGAGTGTGCTCAAGCTAGATTAATTCGAGAAGATATGTTTTTGGTATTATTAATGAAGTCTTGGTTCATGGATGTCTTCATGCTGAATGCAGGGTATTTTTGCAGTTTTTAATGGGATACAAGATTTTTGAAGCCGCACTTGACATGTGAGAAGTGTGGGTCTGATATGAAGTTTGGAAGAAAACTGTGTTTCCAATGGATTTGTGTGGATTTGCAGGTTGAGCTGTAACGAATGTGGTTCTCAACGAAGTTTGAGGTTTGGATCCTGGTTTGCCTGCAGTAAGTTGATTTTAAAGGAAATTTTTATTGTAATGTTTGAAATTTTGAATCCTAGAAAGACGTCTGACATAGCTAAGTCAGGGCATTTTGGTTCACATGCCGTATGTGATTCGAGTAGTTTTATTATTGATAATTTTTTTTTTTGAATTTATTTGTGTTGAAAATTGTTTGGAATGTATTGTTATTTTATTTTAAATTGTTATTTTATTTAGGCTGTAGTGTAGAATTGGGTGTGCCCCTTCGACTGGCGACAAATTTTGTTCCATTTTAGTGATGAAACCCCATTTTTGGTTACCATGATACTTTTAACTTGGTTTTATCTTGATTTTTTTAAGTGAAAATAGATTGATGTGTACATGGATACCAAGTTTGTACAATTCTTTGAGTTCTTATTTTGGTTTTGTGTAGCAGCCATCTTGAAATTTTGCCATCCTGGCACCAATCTTGGCATAAAAAAAAAAAAAAAATCGCAGGGAAAAAAAAAAGGGAGGGCACCCAATTGTAAACTTTTACCATTTAAATTTGTCATCAAACATTTTTGGTGAGGAACGTCATGCTTTTATTTGTCTAATCTTTTTGTTGTTATTTCAGATGCGAAAACCGCATTTTTCAGGACATTTTAGGCTTTAAGTTTGAATAACAAACAAAAGATTTAGATAAGTAAAATCAAGAGTTTTTGTTTGTCGAGTAAATCTTTGGCAGGAAATTTTTTGCCGGACCATATATGACAGTAGTTCCTAAATAATTTCATACATCCTTTTTTTTAATGGTATTTTTTCATATAATCAAATTTGTGTTAATTTCCTAGATGAATTTTTTCCTCACACCTCCCTCAAAATTCTTCTTAATTTTACTTTGGGGTAGACATATAAATAACTTGCAATGCATTTTTAAATTTGCTTCCCTGAATTTTTTTCTCCTTGTATTATTATGAAAACAAATTCTGAAAGGTTTTAGACTTTAAACTACATCCAAAGGGGCACTTTTTTAATGTTTTGTGTGTTACCTTTATGTATTAAATATCATATTCTTCGCACTTAAAATTCAGTTCAACGGCAATGTCACAAAATAATTTTAAAATCAGCATATCTTTAGAATTTCCAATACACAGTGCCACGTGCTGAATAAAAGGTTTCCCCCCCCCAATAGAGTGTTGCCATTGCTCGCTTTTAAATCGTTGACTTTGTTGATCAAAAATTCATTAAAGTTTAATAAAATATGAAATCGATAATAAAACAAATTTCAAGTTCATATTTGCAGTAGGATTACGTCATTCAGAATTTGATGGCTCTAGGTACTGTTGTTTTAACACAATGTGAGAAACATACATACATTTATGCAGATTCATCATTATTTAATTTCTTCAAATAATAATACAGGGCGATAGTATTTGGAGGCTACGATTTGAAAAGTGATACAGTCTTTTAAAGTTTTCAATCCAAAATTGCAAAACGAAAACAATAGTCTTTCAGGGACAAAGCCCGTTTGGACTAATAATTGTATGTTTATCTAATTTTCTTAAAACCTTTTTTTTTCCTCCTGGTAACTATTTTTCTTCAGTACTATTCCATTAAAGCCCTGTCAGTTAAAAATAGACTACTTCCCCCCCTCTCTTCTCACCAATTGTTGCCAAGTTTAAAATTATAAAAGCAGTAACATGGCTCAAAAGACAAAAAAAAAAAAAAAAAAAAAAAAAAAAAAAAACTTTGGTAAAAAGTAAATTTCTTTAATTTCACAATTCTTAAAAATAATTTTTTCTTTTTAATTTTTTAATCTACCATGTATATTCTAAACATAAATAAAAAATAACAAAAGGAAATTCAATCAGGTGGCATAAAACTACAAGTATGATTTTATATTGTTACGGATTTTTGTCTTTAATTTTCTATTTTTAGTTGATTTATAATTAAAGTTGTTTTATTTATCCATGCAAAGCAGCACACAACGAGTTTTAAAGAGAAAGCTATGCCAAAAAATTAAAACTGCAGGAGCACGCGCATTTAATAAATAGATACCTTGTAATTTTACTTTTGTTTTCCAGAAACCTCGAGAAAATACCAGAATGTTCTCGTGCATGATTAAAAAGCTTAAAAAATCAGAGAAAAACATCTCAATTCAATTGTTTTAGTTCTTGTTGTTGATTGTAGTGAATTGGCAGTGACATCGGATTAACTCTGCTTTGAATTGTGTTCTATTTAACGTTTTAGTAGTTTAAAATATAACTACTGTGAGATATTGTATGAATATCTCTGAGGAAATTTCAGCATTTTGTTTAATTCCTTGTGATAAGAATAAATTTTATTAACTTTTACCAAACTTGTGCATTCAATCTATTACGAACCCCTACGCAACAATATTATAGAAAAAATTTCAGTTCATATAAACGACGCCACATCAAAAATGGCTCTGAATTGTAGCGAGCAATGCCCCGCTGACATTTATTTATCCATTTAGCCCTGCCTCACAATCATTCCACAGTATGGCCTCCGGTTTTCGGGTCTGTAAAATTATAATTCACTGTGAAATGTTCGTACCCAGCATTTCTTATGTCCTTTCCAGCAGTCTGAAAATATAATGCTGCTATCTACTTTGTTTTCGTGAGTGGCGGTCATCAATGTTATAGCACAATGATTGGGAATGGTGACTAGAAAACATTTTTTGTTTTCCCGGCATAAACCCTTGAGTACCGATTGTTCTAGAAAAATATATCCAACATTGCTTTTTCTTTTTCTGAAATGACTTTAGTCTGTTTCTACGATTTTGTTGGTTCCATCAATTTTCTTTCTTTCACAAGACATCAAACTATTTGCACATACATCCCTCAAGTAGTTATTCCAAACTGTTATTGTATTATGACTGATTTCTAACTGAAGTTAGCAAAATACAGTCAAAAGTCGTTAATTCGGACACCCATAATCCGGAATGATCTATAATCCGGACCTCAAAGCTACAAACTTTCTGCGCATGCGTCAACCCTTAAGACCTACGGCTGCGAATTTGCGTGTGCACGTGCACAAAATACGTGTAGGAATGCGCGTTTAATGTATAACGGATGGGATAAGCTAAGCTAAAATTATCTAATTATCTATTTCAGTTAATGTTGCAGACTGTTAGAGCAATTTTATAAAAGTAAGCTTGAACTTTCGATTATTTCAAATAGAATTTCCGATATATATTTACTAATATGTAAATGGATCTACAAAGCGTAAGAATGTTTCGGAGTCCATTAAACAAAAAGTGGAATTGCTGCAAAAAATGGATAAAGGAATATCCTTTGTTTATCTAAACTTTAACGTTTGTTTATCTAAACTTTGTTTATCTTTAACGCTGCGGTGCACAATGAATTGGAAGTTGATCTGTCAGCACTATCCATATCTTAAGGGCAGATGTTTTTATTTTATTTGGCTTATAATTGCTTACTAAATGTGGTATTTCCTCTCGATGTACTCTGTCTTTGATATGATTTAAATTAAATGCCTCGTCATTATAATTTGCTTCCGATAACGAAGAAAGTAACAGAGGTTATTGAAAACGAAAAAATTTCGATTGACAAATTAGTCTGTATTCTCAACACGGCAATTATAGGACTTGAACAGCGGAACTTTGTAACTGAACAAGAAATTGTCTGTTTATGGAATTAAAGAGAATGTATTATCACATAAAAAACGAAGCAACTTAAACAACTGACATTGAAAGAAATGTTTAATAAAGTAAACAAATAAATAATAGTTTTTTTTTTTTTTTTTTTTTTTTTTTTTGTAAATTTTGATACCCTTTAGATCAGAATTGTTCTTTATTTCGTAAATTACGGTTTCATATTTTTAATTTTATAATTTCTGCATGCCATTTTACCAGATTTAAACTGATGATCTATAATCCGGAAAAATCTATAATCTGGAATCGCCGAAGTCCCGATGAGTCCGGATTAACGACTTTTGACTGTACAATCAACGTCAGTTTCTGACGCCGCAGATAGATAAAACGAACGACATTGAGAAAAGAAAGACATGAACATCAAACCATGTTTTGGTTCTCAATTCTACCCCTTTTTTTTCACAGCAAGAACATACATAAGACTGCCATAGAGGAGCTGTGTTTGAGCAAAAGTTAACTTCAGCGAATGATTTTGAAAACAAAGTCAATTACCATGAATTATTCCTTTTTCCTGAAGGAATCTTAAGGCTGTTTTTTTGTCATTAGATAATTCTTAAATTGTGTAGCCCTTTGTACTAAAAAAATGGCAGAATGTGACCCCAAAAAAAGTAGCGTGTGATGATATTTCAAATGAAAGCTGGAAATCTTCAGCCGCAATATTTCAAACATTAAATTCTCGATGCCTTGATATTTGGCATTGTTGTTGTAGCTTTTTTTTTACCTGATGCCACTCTAACGGAATAGTGCCTTTTCTTCTTCTTTGACAATCTCTTAAAAATTTTTTTTCACTTCTTTAGTTGTGTAACATTTGGTATGATATTAGCATGAATTTTGTTAGCTCATCAGGTTTGTTGTACTTTTTTATTTGTACGTTGTACGTTTTTAAATGTTTCTGTGATCTAAAGGTATGACTTGGAGGTCAGATTAAAACTTTTTCCAACATCAATATACAGGTGGTTGTGGGATAGAAGGGGAAGAAGACTCTTGGGATTTTGGTACAGGAGCTGGATTTTACGTGGATGCTACCGAGGAAAAGTGGAAGGTGCATTACAGAATGTATTCCTATGTTACTAAAGAGGCATGTAATGTCTTTCTATATATTATATTTTATGTGTATTAAATTACAGATTAGTAAATCATATTCATTGGGAAAAAATTAATTATATATCTTTATATCAATGTAAAAGCTAGGAAAATTTTGAAATAAGATGATATGTAAAATCATGTTTTTGTGCTGCAAAATTATTGACTATCAATAGATAAAATTTTTAAAAAATTAGATCATGAAAGGAGGCAATTTTTCAATAGAAAATTAAAAAAAATATATAAAAAATAAAAAAATAAAATAAAAAAAACCCCAAGAATGACTTAAAATTGAAACAAAAACTGTTCAATAAAAATAATAAAACATACATTTAAAACATGTTGAATCAGATTTTAATTGTGTTCCTTTTCATTTTGTGTTTTGAATTAGTCTTTTTATAAAATTTTGATGAACTGAGTGCCCTGGAGATCCACAAGCACCAAATAATTAAATAAATAAATGTGCAGTTTCTTTAATGATTTGTATTGTGCAACTTGTTAATTTTATTTTGACAGTATAATATTTTATCAATCGAGCCATACTGTTGTGTACATACAACTCATCTCCTTTTCTTCTTTCAGTTTCTCTGTTCCCCCCCTTTTTTTTTCCCTTTTTTGCACAATTTTTCACTATTTATCTCTTTTTGATTATAAATTAAACTGACTTTTGATTCATCTCTGCCTCATGTCATCTCACTTTGGTCAAGGATTATGGATGTCATCTTTCTCAAATTCTGTAAGAACCATGAGGAAAAATAAATGATGATACTAACTGGGTCAGACAAAGTGTAGGTAACTTTCAACTCTAAACCAACTGTATCAACATTAGATGTTCACATCTGTTCTGTCTCTAAACAAGCAGCTGGAGGCAGCAACCATGCTTCTGTTATGAGTCATGCTGACTATTATTTTGCTTCTCAATTTAACTTACTCTAGACGTAAAATCTGCATAAACCTTTTGACCAAGCAAGTACATGACGAAAAGAAGCTTGAAAGAAAGAATCAGTATAAAGCTAATTGTAAAATTTAAATAAAAAGTCACTAATCTTTAAAATATAAGGGACTATTTTAAGTGTAAAATATAAATGTTTCAAGAGCTGTTATAATTTAATGCTAATTACTTGAAAAAAATTATAAATCTGATGTTTTTCTTGAATTTGTTTTAAGTTAAATATTAGATTAGGTTTAATAATAATGCACTTTACTTGCAGATTATTTTATTCTTGCAAAATGTAAAAGTGATACTAAAAAAAGTGAGGTTGTAGATAATTGCTTTAGTTTATACAATTCACATTTGCTGGCAAGTCCTTAATTTTTTCATCAATGGAGCTTAAGTCTTTAATTTCCACGTGCAGAAATAGGTACAAACCCTGTAAACAGTACCCATCAGCTGTAAAAATGTAAATATTGACTGTTTAGATTTTTTTTTTTATATCATAAAATTTCTTGTTTCTTATGAAATGCTTCATATCATTATTATTTATGAATAGTGCTGCATTAAGTTCTTCATTATACAAAAAAGTAATGTAAGAGATCAAGATGTGTCAGGTAATAAGTCTTACCTGACACATTTTGATCCATTTATGACAGGTGCTCCAATAATTATAGCATTTTTTATTACTTTTTCCATAATAAGAGGCAAACTTATTTTTATGTGTAATACAGTACAAAGTCCGTAATCCGAACTGTTCGGGACTTTGGTGATTCCAGATTAGGGGGATTTTCCGGATTATAGATCGTCAATTTAAATCTGGTAAGACTGGCATATGCAGAAAGTTATACAATTAAAAATATGAATTCATGATTTATGAAATAATGAAGCATTTGTGATCTAACAGGTATCAAAATTTACAACAACAAGAAAAAAAAGGATTAAAATTTATTTGTTTACTTTATTAAACATTTCTTTCAAGTTGTTTAAAGTGGCTTCGTTTTTTTTGTGCTAATACTTTCTCTTTAATTCTATAAACAGACATAATTTCTTGTTCAGTTACAAAGTTCCTCTGTTCAAGTCCTGTAATTGCTGTGTCGAGAATACTGACTAACTTGTCAATTGAAATTTTTTCGTTTTCAACAGTGCTCTCTGTTACTTTCTTCACTATTGGAAGCGTGCATGGGTAAATGCTTTACTGGCTTTATGCGCATTCGTAGCGGACACACACATCAAACGCGCATGCGTAAGTTTGTGGCTTTGAGGTCAGGATTATAGATCATTCCGGATATTGGACGTCCGGATTACGCACTTTGTACTGTATAATCAAAGGAAAAACTAAATTGTATACAATATTGGTGTCAAGTATTTTGAGGCAGCTATCTGTTTTAGTCACATTTTAGCTGCTCTTCATGTAGAAGTTTTATGTTGCTACTCAAAATTTAGACTGTTGCCAGATCTCAGTCAGAGGAAAAAATACAAGGAAAAAGGAAAGATGCCTGACATCTAGTGACAAGAATGGGTCAAATAAATGTTTTTCACTAATTTAAAGTCAGCAGTGAGTTGGTGACTTTTTTATGTGGCTGTAAGCTTTTAGAACCCTTGCAGCAACATTACCATCTATATGCTATTGTGAGTGATTGTTCTCATTGGTGTATTCTAGTAAGAGCTGCCTTGCAAATGGAGCTGTTTATGTGCATATGTACAGTATAATGTTTGAGATCCAGAATCTTTAAAGGCTTAAAAAAGAGGTATTTTATATAAAGTTTTTTTTTTTTTATCCCCTGAATCACCATTATGTGAAATTAAATGTTATTAGAAGCCAAAATATTTTCTGGATTTAAAAATCATTCTACAGATATCACCTTTCCATTAACTGATTGATGATCGAGGCATTGTCATTGCAATCTAAGACTTCAAATATATCATCGTCATTTAGCATTTCATTTTACATTCTGTTAATAAAAAAATTTCACTTCTTACTTGTGATATTAAAAAGCCACCCTCCCAGCTTTTATCATCATCAGAAAATTAGGTAAGTGGATATATATTATGCTAAGCATTTTTTTAAATGTCTAATAATAGATGGTCTTACTGCATTGGTTTTTAAAAAGCTACTCTGTATATGCATTTCAGTGCATGCAAAATTCCAAGCATTTTTTTTAAATGTCTAATAATAGAGGGTCCTAAGCATTTTTTTTAAATGTCTAATAATAGATGGTCTTACTGCATTGGTTTTTAAAAAGCTACTCTGTATATGCATTTCAGTGCATGCAAAATTCCAATATCAATTGGCTCATTGACAGATGTAAAATTTTCAGGGAAAGAGTAAAACACAGATGTTATCATTAACTAAAACTCTAATTTTGATCTAGTTTTTAGATCATTCCCAATATTGGATGTCCAGATTTGGAAACTTTGTACTGTATATGTCAAAAGACTGTAAAAGGAAACTGCAGAATAAATTATTTATCATAAGCGATACAGCAAAGTAAATTTTATTAATTCTAAATAAATAGGGTGTTTTTTGCTAAAGTTTTCTGCTAAAACTTTTTGTAAAGATTTATGTAACTTTAATGTATCAACAACTGAATAATAAAAATTATAATATAATGTATTACATATACTGGATTCAGGATTAATAAAAGATTATTTTCTTCTATTATGTTCTAGTCAAGTAAAATAATTCTGAAGATGAGCACTGTAATATGTTGAAAAAACTTTATTGTTATTATTTGATTGATCTTTACACAAAGAAAAAGTTCAAACTTATTACAGTCAAAAGTCGTTAATTCGGACACCCATAATTCGGAATGATCTATAATCCGGACCTCAAAGCTACAAACTTTCTGCGCATGCGCGTAAGACCTTTACCGCTGTGAATTTGCGTGTGCGCGTGCGCAAAATACGTTTACGAATGCGCGTTTAATGTATAACGGACGGGATAAGCTAAGCTAAAATTATCTAATTATCTATTTCAGTTAATGTTGCAGATTGCGTTGTTCCTTAATCTTCGAATTGGATCCGGATTATTATTTTTTGCAGACTGTTAGAGCAATTTTATAAAAGTAAGCTTGAACTTTCGATTATGTCAAATAGAATTTCTGATATATATTTACTAATATGTAAAGGATATACAAAGCGAAAGTATCTTTCGGAGTCCATTAAACAAAAAATGGATAAAGGCATATTCTTTGTTTATCTAAACTTAAACGTTTGTTTATCTTTAACGCCACAGCCGCATGCAATGAATTGGAAGTTGATTTATCAGCACTATCCTTATCTTAAGGGCAGATGTTTTTATTTTATTTGGCTTATAATTGCTTACTCAATGTAGTATTCCCATCTCAATGTACTCCGTCTTTGATATGATTTAAATCAAATGCCTCGTCATTATAATTCGCTTCCGATAGCGAAGAAAGTGACATAGGTTATTGAAAACGAAAAAATTTCGATTGAGAAATTAGTCGGTATTCTCGATACAGCAATTATAGGACGTGAACAGCGGAACTTTGTAACTGAACAAGAAATTATGTCTGTTTATAGAATTAAAGAGAATGTATTATCACATAAAAAACGAAGCAACTGAAACAACTTACATTGAAAGAAATGTTTAATAAAGTAAACCAATAAATATTAAGCTTTTCTTTTGTCAATTTTGATACCCTTTAGATCATAATTGTTCTTTATTTCGTAAATTACGGTTTCATATTTTTACTTTTATAATTTCTGCATGCCATTTTACCGGATTTAAACTGATGATCTATAATCCGGAAAAATCGATAATCCGGAATCGCCGAAGTCCCAACGAGTCCGGATTAACGACTTTTGACTGTATTTACTTTTCTGCTGGCATTAAGAATTTACATCTTTCAATTATGTGTCGATTTGTGTGACCTAAAATTGCATTTAAAGGCCAACAGAAAGCTATCCAATCTAACAATCAAGCAGAACTCGAGGATTTTTCTTCCAGTCATTCAATCTGATAACTTATAAAAATCATATTGTATTTATTTAATTTACCTCTCCTGGATAACTTTTATTCTTTAAACTTACCCCTTATGTATATTTTAACAGCTTCCAGACCTTATCGATAAAGAATTTCCAACAAATGGAAAAATATCGATATTTGGCCACAGGTAATTTTTAAGTATATCCTTTTTTTTTTTATTTTATTAATTTTATTGTTAGCATAGTAAAAATTTGATACATAAAGTATGATAAAACTTGTAATTAAATTGATAAAAATATGTATGTCCAGTGCATTAAACTTAATATTTGGTTGTATTTAGAATTTTTTTCATTAGTTTAAATAATATGAGTTCATTATATTATATACTGCTAGCATTAAAATTGTTACACTATGCAGCAAATATCAAATCTGCGTGAAAAGTATTACACATTGGATTATGTAAATAATTAGCATTCCAACACATACACACAAAAACAAGTATGAATAAACTATTAACATTGTATATAAGTGAGAAGACTGCACAATGGATTTCTTATTTGGAAATTACGTTTGATTCTTGGTTGTTTATATAAAAGACTTATGCTTTGTTTAAAGAGAAACTTCTACCAGCATGTGTTGAAATTTGACCATGGCAGGATTGTGGCCTATTGGGAATACAATTTAATGTTCCACAACATTGCTACTCATGTTGGTCAAGATCCCATGATTGTCGGGTAGATATGAAATTGATGGGGCCAGGAGGGCCATACTGAGCACCATGCCTGAGAGAACAGACATGCTGTGTGCATGGATAGTGCAGTGATATCTGCAGCACCATAGACTGTCAGCACTGTTTTCCTTGACGCTGCATTAGAAGCAAGTTTGGTGAAGAATGACATTGGACACAAGAGTGGCACCATGTTGCATCCTCAGATGAATTCCAGTATATCTGTGTGGTCAGTTTAAAAGATAATGCAAGTATGGACCAGATATTTGAAGTCGGCTAAATCTGCATAAAAATACTGTAAAATGTGAATAATATGTGATTGTTTAATGACTGCAACAAATAAAACTCAATTTTTAGGAATTTCAACCTGGCCTTTTTTTTTTAATAGAGAAGTGTTACAAGTAAGTTTTTTTTAACAAAAATACTGAAACATATTTTGATTGAAGAAGCATTTTTTAGTATTAAAATTATTATTATTATTATTATTTTATTTAGACTTAACCCCTTAAACTGCCGCGGGCGTATATATACGCCTTTGCTCAGCCGATGCGTTTAACTGCCCCAGATGCGCAGCCGATGCGTTAACTTTGCGAATAATTTTAGGTGTAGCAGCGCAAAGCAAATGATAGCAGTTTGGAAGGACGTATATATACGCCTGGGGCAGTTAATGCATCGGCTGAGCAAGGCGTATATATACGCCCGCGGCAGTTAAGGGGTTAATAAATGCCTGCAGGGCGGACATCATACTGCAAGGGCTTGTTCCCGGTCAGTAGTCCTCCTTAGCAGTGTAAAAGTAAAAAAAAAGTATTAAAATTATTATTTAAGTTATTTTGCATTTCCTGTGCATGTTTTCCCTTTTTGTTTTTTAATAAATAAATATGAATTGTAAATCTGCAAAATTTTGGTTGTAGATTAATCATTATTTTTTGGCATATATTTTATTGTCTTTTTTAATTAATTTTATGTAAGTATGCATTATTTAATTTTTGTGTTTATGTTTTGAGTTTGTTTCATGTATCCATAACCTTTTTGGATGCTGAGCTTCAATTTAAATACACTTTGTCAGGAATTTTTATACAGTTTGTGCAATGAGCAAATTTATTTTCGTTAATGGAAAATAGGGATAGATTTTTAAAAATAGCACTTCTATAGATTTTTCTTGCATTAAAAATAAAGTTTTAAAGAAAAGAGAATTTTTTTTATTAATTCTAAATAATAGAGTAAAAATTTGTAAGTTACTACTATTATTCTTAATCCTATTGTACATGCACAGGTTGTTATAGCAGAATTAGTGTATTCAATGTATGGAAAACCATACTACTGGAACTTATATAGACAGTATATTTATTAATTTATTAAACTGTTTTTGTATACTTATTCTTTTATTTTGATAGTATAAAACATTTTTTGAAGCAGTTTTTCTGGTAGATATACAATTTTTTCATGTAAAATATTTTAGTGCATTTTTGCAAAAGACTTTTTTCCCCCTTTTAAAAAAATTTCGTTGTCCATCATACCTTTTCCTGTACTGTGTCTCCTCTCATACTAGTATTACTTTATTAATTTAGAAGTCAAACAACAAAAATCAGCGTTATATTTTCAAATTTTCACAGAGGCATTTCACATTCAAAAAAATCTTTCTGTTCTAGTTAACGACCCTAATTCCAGTCCATCTTTGCCTTCAGCTTTTAAAGAAATTATGTTTTAGTTCTGGTTTCATCAACAGATGGCGCCAGTGGCTTATCTAATCATTACATCTTATCTCATTCATTTGTGCTTTTGCAGCTGAGGATGATAGTTCAGTAAAACCATCGAAACTAGTCCTGTGAAAATTTGAAAATGTAACGCTGATTTTATTGTTTGACTTCTAAATTAATACTTGTTTGGTGTGTTATTGTACCTTAATTAGTATTACTTTCTTTGTAAAAACATATCGAAAGCTATAATAATTTTTTGTTCAAATTCTGGATAAATAGTTCTTAAAATATAATTACATTCACAATCCTTGATACGGAGTTCTGCAGATTATCATAATTTTACTGTATACCTTTTTGATTCTCAACTTTTTTGCCCCCCTTTCACCATTGCTAGAAGATTATTTCATAATGTTTTATAAATTGAACAAAAAGGTATATAAAATGTTGCTAAATATAAAAACTTCATAAAAGTAGCTTGTTAATATTCATAAACTAAAACTAAATTCTCAACAGCTAAATAAAAGGCTGATTGCATTCCACTCTGAAACTCTGAAATTGTCCCGATTCAGAACCTCAAGTATATCCAATAATTTATAACAATAAAATTTGCGACTGAAATAAAAATATTATTTGCTTGCTTAAATTAAGAAATGCACAACTAATTTTTATGATCAGTTGATGGTTTTATTCTTCTGTAGCATGGGTGGACATGGAGCTTTAATATGTGCTTTGAAAAATCCCACTAAATATACTAGTGTGTCTGCTTTTGCTCCAGTGAGTAATCCTACGGAATGTCCTTGGGGGCAGAAAATATTTACTGGGTATTTAGGGGCAAACCAAGATACTTGGTCAAAATATGATGCCACCGTATTAGCCAAAGACTATAATGGACCGGAAATTACCATACTCATTGACCAGGTAATTTTTTAAACTACTTTATCATTATATTTTATATTGTGAAATATGAATGGAAATATTTTCTGTTACATCTGAAAAAAGTCCTATGGAATTTGAATTAATTTTGTGTTTTTATTATATTTTTTCATACTATGATTTTCTGCACTTAAAAAAGTTATTATTTGATCTGAAGTTATTTTAAAAATAACCTTTATACATATGATATAGATTAAATTTTTATACATATATATGCGGATTTTTAATTTATCTGTTTTTTCTCATTTTTGATAGTTGCATGGGATGTATATATGTGTATGATATAATAAAAGCAAGGAAAAGACAGAGCACTGTTGATGTATAGTTATCCTATATTGAAAAGGAAACATTTTGATTGTGTCGTAAGCTAATGTGTTGACTTCGTAAATAAAACTTGGCAGTCGAGGAAATTTTAATTCCATTTTTATTTCCAATTTACAGCCACAGATCACTTGGCATCCTAATCGTGCCTGTTCAAGAACATTTACATTATTGATATTATAGCAATAGGAAGCAGTGTAGCGATATTGCGTCCAAGCAGAGCAGAGACAGAAGCTAAACTGTGTAGTTATGAAAGATGGAAGCACACAAAGAAGAAAGTTTTGGTTTATAATGGTAGTTTCAGTTCCCAATTATTATGCCATCAGAGCTGTGCGGGCTATAGAATGATCTAGAAATGACGCAATCCAAAGAACTTATTGCAATTTTTAGAATAGAGAGGAGAATTAATGTTTTACAGTTCGTTTAAATTATAATTTTGATTCACATATTTCTTATCTTATATATTCCCCCCCCTTCAAAGAGAAAAAGTCGTGGTGACAGAAAAGCCTTTTTAGAAGAAAGCATTACAAGGGAAATGTAATAGTGAAAAAAATCGTAAAATTTGATATAAATATTTTTTTTAAAAACAAAATCTTGTAGGTATCATTTTAACAATAAATAATAAATTCAAGTTGAAAATTCTATTGAAATTTTAGTCTTCAACTGTAAAAACACTGGAATTAAGGAATGTCCTAAGTTTTTCAAGAAAGTTCACAGTTCTGTAAAATCTTTGCTTAATTAATTTCATTAACATTAATCATAATCAATATTTTGCAGTCCTTACCTTGAAAGTCTTTCATAAAAATTGTTTTTGCCAATATAAAAGCAAAATTTTCTTTTACAGATACATGAAATTTTAATTGATTATTTAAACCAAAATTTTCTTTTACAGTTACATGAAATTTTAATTGATTATTTATGATGTAATCTACATTTTCTTAATTGTAAAGCAATGCAAAATAGAATTTAGAACTTAATACATAGTAAGTAAAAAATTCAGTGCATTAACAAAATAAACTTTGATAAAAATGGGCAAATCGTCTACAATGCAAATCAGCGTGACAACTTGCTGATGGCTGTGGGATGCTTAATTACAATTACACAGAGAAAACTCCATTGCTTAATAAAGGTAACTGGCCTCTAGTATTGTATAGTTATCATAGTTTATAACTATAAAAAATCTTCAAACTAGTTAATTGAAATGGAAAAAATATACAAATATGCAAAATTAAAGATATATTAAATTCTACACTGCTCCAATAATAATATGAACCATATAATTTTGTGAATGTAAAATAAAGCAATACCTAGGTAAGTTGAAAAATAAGTTTCCCCTGTCGACTGTGGTCAGAGTTGTGTATGAAAGTCAAAAAATAGAATGAGACATTAAAGATATGACATTCCTTTATTTTATTATTCTCGTACGAGTACCTTGAGACATTTGTCATATCGCTTGATAAGCTTCAAAAAGTCCTCCAAGAAAAATTCACTCTTTGCATATGGAAGAAGCATTGAACGGCTATGGGCGAAAGGCGACACAGCAGGAAAACGCGCAAGTCACCGATACACCATTGGGTAGAGGTCGCTGCAAATCAAGCAGATGGCGCTGTTGCAGTGCCTGCGCAAAGCGGAGACCAGCCTCTATTGCGAAAGGTGGTTCTAATTCTAAATGAAGTGAAATACTTCAACAATCTACAAAAATAATCATTTTATTTACAAAGCAACTTTCGTTGCATCGAAGGTTCACTGCTAACTAACTACGTCGCAAACTAAAAACTAACATTCCTTTTCAGAAGCGAAGCGCCCTCTAACGGCGATACATAAATCATTTGGGGGATTTTTCCACACTCCCCACCTGATAATTTTTGCAAAAATTATCACTATTTCAGCATACAAATAATAAAATATAAGAAAGCAACTTACATATCAAATACATTCAACTGATGTAAATATAAACTGCAAAAGGAAATTCTATAAAATAAACAAATATAGTTAACTGCATCAACTCAAATGTTACTCAATACGTAAATATTAATTCAAATTACAAACAGTAAATTATTAGTAATAAATAAACTAATTATCTAAAATTAATGTTAGTGAATATGAAATACAAGAAGTAAAATTAAAAGGTTACAAATTTTTAGTTCATTTTCAGTCTGATAGTTCAAGGGGGTATAATCAATTGCACAGGTCTCTTAAGGTCCCTCTTTTTTAGTTTTTTACCACACATGATCGTACAAGACCATCACGTCCTTTGAAGACTTGAATTACTCGACCTAAATCCCAGAGGAACTTAGATTTAGTTGTTCCTTCAAGTAAAACTATATCACCAATTTTAAGATTTTTCTTGGGTTCTGGTGTACCGAAGAAGTGAGCATTTCTTAACTCAAGAAGATACTGATTTTTCCATTTTTTTCCAGAACTGTTTTATAAGTGTTGTCTGATATTCTTTTCGTTTTATTAGACTCTTTCTTGTTGAGAGAGTTATTCAGGATCTCAGCAAAGTTGTATGGATATTCATCCTTATGTCCGATCAATAGAAAATCAGCCGGTGCAAGCGGTTCAGGTTCATGTAAATCGTTGTAAACGTAGGTCAAAGGACGTCTATTCACAATATTTTCGACCTCTGTCAACACAGTCATAAATTCTTCAAAATTCAGTTGAGCTCTGCCTAATATCTTTTTCAACGGTTCCTTTATGGTTTTCATAAGGCGTTCATAAAAAGCTCCCCACCATGGAGCAAGCTCGACGATAAATTTCCAAGTCAAGCCTTCATTTGCTAGAAAATTTTGAAAGTCTGTACCTTTAATTATGCTGTAAAAATACTGTAAATCTTTGGCAGCATATTTGAAAGTTTTCGCGTTATCTGAATAAAAGGTGCGACAGTTTCCTCTTCTCGAAATGAAACGTCTGAGAGCCAAAATGAATTTGTTTGCAGACATATTGGAAATGAGTTCTAGATGTAACGCTCGTGTAACAGCGCACGTAAACAATACGATGTATGATTTCTGAATGTCGTTTCCAGACCTGATGTAAACTGGACCTGTGAAATCCACGCCTGTAACATAGAAAGGTGGAGTTTCAACAATTCGATCTTTAGGTAACTGAGCTGTCATTTGTTTCGCTGGTTTTACTGCGTATTTCCGACAAATTAAACAGTTCCCTAAGACTTTCTTTACCAACTGACGGCCTTTAGGAATCCAAAATTTCTGTCTTAGTTTGGCTAAAGTTGCTGCAACTCCCGCATGCAGAACGTTATTATGTTCCCTTTTTTACAATTAATTCAGTAAATTTGGAATCTTTAGGAAGAAGAACTGGATGCTTCTCGTCAACTGTATATTCGGTTTCTTCTAATCTTCCCTTAATTCGAAGAATTTTATTTTCATCAAGAAACGGTGCCAAGCTGAATATATCAGAGCTTGGAGAAATTGACTTGTTAGATTGAAGAGCCTTAATTTCAGGTGTGAAGAAATCCATCTGGGCTTTACGAACACAAAAAATTTCAGTGTCCTGAATTTCAAAAGCACTTAATGTTCCACTATTAGCAGGCAGTTTTCTTGCCTTAGCAACGAAACGTCTAACCCATGCCATAATTCTGAGATATTTCAGCACATTACTGAATTTTGTTATATCCAATAGTTGATCATCTCTTTTCACAACAACGTCATAAACAGATATCTTACTACGGAGTTCTAGTTGCTTATCGTTTCCCACGTCAAACTTCGGTTGAACTGGCCAGTCTATACGTTTGTTTTGCAACCATTCTGGTCCAAACCACCAAAGTGAACAATTTCTTAAATTAGCAACAGTAGTTCCTCGTGATATGAGGTCGGAGGGGTTATCTTTCCCACGGCAATAATGCCAATTATTGCTTTCAGTTAGTTTCTGAATTTCATAAACTCTGTTTTTGATGAAAGATTTAAATCTTTCGGGAGATCCCTGAATCCAAAAATACGTTATTTGAGAATCAGTCCAGTGGAAGGGGATTACTTCGTATTTTAAAGATTTTGCTATTTTATCACTCAATCTAGCGGATAAAAGCGCACCCAAAAGCTCCAATCTAGGAAGTGTAAGGGATTTCAGAGGTGCAACTCTACTCTTGGAAGCAACAAAAACTGTTTGAAAAGTTCCATTGTTCAAAACTATTCTCAGATATACCACGCATCCATAAGCTTTCAAACTAGCATCAGAAAAGCTATGGAGTTCTATTTGTTTCACATCTGCATCTAATATTCCTTCTAAATAGTAGCGGGGAATTCTGAGGTGGTTCAGTTCTTCAATTTCTTCGTACCAGGCTTTCCATTTATAACTAAGATCAGGTGGCAGTTCATCGTCCCAATCAATTTTGGCAGACCAGATTTCCTGAATCAGACACTTTATTCTTATAGTGAAAGGGCCATAAAATCCGACAGGATCAAAAAAATACGGCCTGCGGTTTGCAATAGAAAACGTTTTGAGTTGATTGACGAGGAAATGAAATTTGTCAAGTGCTGAGTGTCAAAATAAAAATTATCATTATCCGTATCCCAGTTAATTCCTAACACTTTGATCGGGACAACTTCAGGAGATTCTTGCATCGAAAATTCTTTGCGATGCCAAATATCTTTGAGTTCTTTGGAATTAGTATGCCACTTATGTAGTGACATGCTAGCTTCATTAAAAAT